ATTATTTAATCATAAATATGATAATATAATATTTATTACATTCTATATACTATATATTACATTCTATATACTATATACATTCTATATTACATTATATTAACATACAAACGCAAAAATTGAATTGTGCACAATGCTATAGAAATATTGATTAATTTCGTTATGTATATATATTTCAAACAAATGTCACTATGAATTTAATAATTAAATTACGCTTCTTTTCTAATATTGAATATTACATATTTGCACTTATTTTGATTTGCAATAAATATAATAATAATTATTAGTATTCCAGCGGTATTATTATTTTATGAAATTCTATGAAATTTTTTTCGTTCATATTAAAAATATTAGAAATAGTTGAATTAAATGTGAACAGCATTCAAAAATTATTTTTGTATATCTCTTCAAAAAATTCTTCAAAATACATTTAGGTGATTAGAATACAACTTTAAAGTATTAATTCAAATAATTATTTAAATAACTTAAAATTCATTTATACTATTTTAAATTGCTCCTATTAATATATATTTGAAATTACATCAATATCAATATTGTAGGACTTAATAAATAATCATAAATATATAAAAAATAACAGTTATTTTTTTCATTGAATTTTTTAGAAGTATGTAAACCCAACTATTCTAAAAGAATGTTTAATATAGTTTAAGCAATTTACAAAATTATATTCATTTTTGTTTTCTAACATTCAATGGAAAATGTGATACTCAGTCAAAAATTTCAGAAAGTAGTAAGTTTCACTTTGGAGCTAAGATAATCATGTAGAATTTTCTTTAATTTTGTTTTTTCGTCATAATTAATTATTCTAGTCGAAATAATAAAATTATTTTATTTATTATTTTAAGAAAAGTACTTAGATTTCATAATACTTGTAAGAATGACTATGATTATATTTAAATTGTAAATCTAAATGCTGAATTAAATTTATAAATTGAATATGAACCATTATTATACATTTTAAATTAATAAGAAAAACTTAATAATATACTTGCAAATTTAATAGTTTTTAAATTATTAAATAAAATTATTAAATTATATTAATAATCGAAAAGATATATTCAAGTCAATTAAAGTAATAAATTATAATATAAAAATGTTTAGAAGTATTTAAAATAATAATTTTTCCTAAATGGAATATAAAACTCAAGAAAGCCTAGCCTTAAAAAGTAATTTCTATTTGTAATTAGTTGAAGTAATTTAATTTTTAATCATTACGACTAAAAATAAATTTTATAAGTAAAATTATTTTTAATGTAATTATAAGTTATGTATAGGAAATATCTTAATTATTTCAATTGTATTAGAAGCATTCCTATTTTATCACGTAGTTTCATTTTTTTTTTTTAAATATTATATATAAGCTGTGATTAATCTTGTTATTGAAAATAAAATGATTTGATTAGTATAAAAATATTTAATTGCAAATATTATGAATAATAATAAAGAAATAAATATGGTATTTTCTTTATACAAAAGAAGTTATAAAACATTGACCAACATTTTGTGCTACTGCTTGAACAAACTAATCTGAATTTTTTATTTATTAGGATTAAATATATAATATTACATACAAAATTTTTTTTACTCTGGATTTAAACACGATATTTATAAATCAATGAATTAAATAAACGTCAGAATCATTTTGCAGAAAAAATTAAAATAGATTGTTACTTTAACTAAGTTTATTTTATACTGATACTAATTTTGTTTATAAGATTGTATTTTGAATATTAAGATATTAAAATTTGATGAAAAAAGAAATATATATATATATATATATATATATATATATATATATAATAGTATATTTTATACATTTGATACATTTCGTACATTTTATACGTACAAAGTAATAAAGCGTAAAAGTATAAAAAAGTATTAAAATATTAAATATATTTTAGTAATATTATTTATATATATGGAAAAAAATATATTCGATGATATCCAACTTTTTTCATGATTTTACAAATTTTTATCAGGTTTCTGTTTAGCTTTTCTATAGTAAATCGTTGTATTTACTCTAGACATATCATTAAGGCCAATTAATGCAATGTGTTATGAATTTCCAGATAATATTTGTCAATATTATATTTTTCTTATTAAATTTCAGATGTATTTTTTTTTAATTCTTAAATACGTAATAATTTAATTAATATTTTATTATGAAATTACAAATTTTGCAAAGCTAATTGACGAATGTCAAGTGATCAACTCGTTTAATGATGAAACGTTCTAATATTCTGCATTTTTTTAGCAACTATAACATTAATAATATTCCAAATTAATTTTTAATAAAAGGATACATCGAAGATTGTCTAGATAGTTCATTTTTTATCTTTATGTTGAAATAAACAGTTTCATTTTGTATGTATGTATCATTTTATGTTAATTGCATATACGCGCCATTATTACATAACGAAGAGTTTATATTAGAGTTTATATAGAGAGTTTATATTAGTCAAAATCATTTAAATATATACTGCAAATTTATTTTAATTCAATATAACGTATTTAATTTTTTAACAAATATATTTGTCAATAAATACATAAATATTGTGAGCATCTATGATATATAAAATAATTTATAAAGTAATTGTGGTTTCAAAACACTAAAATAATTACAATATTTATGACTACCAAAAAAATTACAATAAAATTATACAGGACAACTAAAAATATATTTAGCGTTATTACATCAGAAATTGTTTTTCTGGATATATAATATTTACTTAAGGATAGGATAATAATTAAAAAAAAATGCAAATATTATCATCATAATATACAACAAAAGAGTATTTGAGATAAATGATATATTGCATTGGAGAATAGGGAATGAGTAATTTCTTGAAATATCAGATTTCTCATAAAATTAAATTGTTTGCCAATCCGTGCAAGTTTTTCATGTTATAACATATTATAAATTTTATGTTATTTTATAGAATTTTGAAATTCAGTCTTCAAAAGCTTGCTCAGTATGTTCATGGATTTTAGTTGTGATTGAATATATAAAAGGAAATACTAAATGATTTATATTAATATACTAATGTAGTAATATAAAGAATGTTCATTCTCTTATGTCATATAATTATAAGATTAATACTTTTCAGAATTTAAAATTATTCTATGTATTTCCAACTTTCAAACAAGTTTAAAAAAAATATTCTACATATAATTGGTGGATTTAAGATTAGTACTCGATATACATTTTGTATAGTTAAAAATGTATATAATTTAATTTTTTTAATATGGTATTATAACAATTTTTGTTAATTATAAAACGATACGAAATTCCACTTTAATTTATTTTTTATTTTTTATTTTTTATTAATTATTTTTAATTATTTTTGTATAAATCTTAATAAATAAATTATTATGTAAGTTTTTAAAATCGAATCGAATATTTATTGAATCAATTAAATTAATTCCATATGTATAAATTATTAAAAATCGCAATTTTTCCTAAATAATTTTAAATAACATAACATTATATATTTCCAATGTTTATTCTTTCAAATTGATTGTAATATATATTTTTCTGGATGTATAATTAATCTAAATATTTAAATAAATGTTAATAGAGTCAGATTAATATTTTCATTTGTCTGTATATGTATGAACTTGACGTTGTATTTAAATTATAAGTAGATATAAACATTTACAATATTGTATTTACAAATTTGTAAATTTAATAATTTGATACGTACAAAATATGTTTACAGTAATATAATATTGCGGTATCTTAAGGAATATTATAATTAAAAATATATCCACAATCAGTATGTTTAAATATATACAGATATTTACAGTTTCTATAAAATACAGTAATATAGTAATTATGTTTATTTAAAATATGTACTTGATTTTATAAATTGATTTTATACATTATATCTATTCATTGTAATAATCTGAACATATTTAAAATCATTATTTACCTCTTAATCCATGTTTCTAGCACTATAACTTTTCCTTAAATATATATTTTAATAGTATTTTTATAATTCGTATATTCTTTTATTTTATATTTGTAATTTATAAAATTTTATATGCTTTCCTATTTAGTTTTAATGCTTTAAAATAAAATACATTTTTATTATATACAATCATTTTAAGAGACAAGAGTGTATCCACACAATTATTTTCATTCTCTTTTAGAATGCGATGGATTAAATCTAAATTCCATTGCATTTAAATTCTATCGAGAATTTATATTTATTAATTTTCTAATCAACAGCTTGGCTGTAACGAATAGAAGTTAATTAAAGTTGCAAAATATAGTAATATATGAAATTTTAACTAGCTTTATTTTTACTGCCAAAAAACTTGAACTTGTGGTATAAAATTCAGCAAGATTCAAATTACAAGTAGTAATACTCGTATGCGGTCAACCGCTACAAATGATTGGCCTTACATCATTTTTGCTATATTTACAACTTTGAAGACTAGAACTTTATAAATATAATCATATATGCATAGTAGAATCATGAAAACTACTTGAGAAAATATAATCTCCGACTGGCTTCGCAATGCATGTTAATCCAGCTAGCGAGTGCAGTGAGAATATTCTTGAATTTATAGGTCCTATGTTATCTTCACTTAATAGTACTCCCAAAATTACACGTTTAACTCGATTTATATGCCAACATTTTTTTTTTTAATATTGAAGTATTTTTTAAAATTATCGACAATGTAGATATAAAAAAAAATTATTTATTAATATAAAGCAAAATTATATAAATATAAATTGTCCATGAAAGGATAAAATTGAAAGGATAACATTAAATATTTTTATAATTTTGTTAATCTTTAAAAAAATTTTTTGATGCTGATTTTAATAAAATTATTAATAATTAATTAATAAAATTAACTATTAGACAGAAGGTTATTTATTAAAAAAAATTAGTATTCATATGAAAATTTTTAACATGCTATAAAAAAATCTGAAAAAATAAAAATAAACTATAAAAAAATATAAAAATTATAACCTTTTACAGCGTTGAGCTTACTTCCCACCATCTGCTTTGCTACGAAAGCTGCCATGTTGCTTTAATTCAGTTTTTTGATATATCCAATTCTTATATTCGATTCTATAAAAGATGAAAAAATATAGTTATAAAGTTTCCATTTTTAATAAACTAATAGTAAATAGTAAAATTATTGGCACTTATTAGATGAACCATATTTAGCTCAATTATCATTATTTACGTAGATAATCGAAAATCATTGTCAATGTTAAGATTTTCAGTTTCGTGTTTATAATATATATTTGTAGTTTCTTCAATTCACTATAATAATATAATTTACTTTTACTATTATTTATAAGAAATTTTTTTATTCTATTGTAAAGCGAAAATTTTTATAAAATAGAAAAAACTCATAATTGAATATAATTTTTTATTTTAATATTAATTAGACGATTAAATAATATATTTCTGAATATTTATTTCTATCTCTTTAAATAAATATAATTAGTTCAGTCTATTATTTGAACATTTGATGTTATTAAACATTTTATATTACCAAAATAAAATTTTATGTAAACTTAATAATGATACTTTATATTTTAATAATGCTAATTTATGAATTTAATATTTATTATATCGTTGGTTAACTAATTTCAATTATTATATATATTTATTCTGTTTTCGAAATGCATAAATAAAATAAGATATAATAACTGCTGTATAATTAATTATTTATTCTTTTATTTATAGGGGAATATATATTTTATATATATAATATTTATATATTATTATTATATATATATATATATATATATATATATATATATATATATATAATATTTTATTGTTATTATTTTTTAGATAATAATTATTATTTATAACAAAAAAATATATATTTAAAATTTAAAAAAAAATTTTCAATCAGAACAGCTGTAGCAAAAATTAAATGAAGAATTTTTATATTAAAGATGCCAAGAAGTCTATGACAAATGTGAGATTAGTCAGACAATGGGAAAGGAACTAACTATACTTGTGTTTGGCCTCACAAGATCAAACTTTCTTCTATTTTTATACCCTTTTCCAAAGTAAAATATTTTTCTCGTGCTTAGTTTCCAATCTTAATTTTTTTATTTTTGCAATTAACTTTTTAAATTTTGTCTCTATTTTTCCGTGTTTCTATAAGTGTACTTCCGTTTGTCTCTCTTCTCTCTTTCTCTCCTCCCCTCTCTTATTCTCTAATATAATTATAGAATAAAATTTTTGAATACAGTGTTTCATATAACAAGCTTGATCCGATGGCCTAAAAAATAAATACTTCAAGACATATTATAAAAATAATTATCTTATTAAATTTAATTTGATTATTCAAGGAACAACGAAAATATTCTTATAATAATACAATTTTGTATAATCGAAATTTTTAATATATATACATCTATATATTAATAAATACTTCATCATAAAAGACATAAATTTAATTTAGTACTTAATATATTTTATGTAATAAAATTTAAAAGGTTTATTTTTTTAGAATTATTTCTTATTTATTATTAAATTTAAAATTATTCAGGTGCATTCAGATTTTTTTGTAATTTACTTCTTATAAATATAATGGTGCATTAAAAAACTGTAGAAACTTAAAAGTTTAAAGAAAAAAAATTAAAAATGTCAAAACAATAAAATCGTAAATGTTAATATTTAGTTAAAACCATTTGTTTTTGTTTTTATAAAAACAGGAATGTAATCACTTCAAAAAATAAACGATTCAAATTCTTATTACTAATTGTTGGACATATTCGAACATTCCTATTTCTCTTAACACGATGATGTTTGATTTTCGTTTAATGAAGTTGTTGCTTTAATTTGAATATCTTAAGAGGCAAGTCAAACCACGAAAAGGGCACGTGCGGAAATTCAAGAGTAAAAGAGTGATAGCAAACAATGCCCTAGTATTTGAGGATTGAGTATCAGTAGAGGCTGAGAACCACGGGATCAATAACAAAAGAGAGCGTAAACGAGTGTGTATTCGTAAAGTATTAAAAGAGATATGGACGACTGAGCGCCAAGACGTCTGGGCGCCAATACGATTTTCCTCTTAGAATATTTTGGGTTACAAAAAAGATTGAAATTACCTAATGAATGCTATATAATTAATGAAAATATTTTTATTCATTCGTGTTTGTATATAGTATAATTATGATTTGGATAAATAAATGGTTAGTAATTAAATTTAATTTTTAGTTTAATTATTCTTCTATTCTAATAATGTCTAACATTCAGGCTAAAAATATAAAATTCGTATTATTATTATTAATATACTTAAAAATAAGATAAACTAGTAAAAGAAATTTTATAATGTAATTACTAATAATACATGTAAAAAAAATTTTCATTTCCTGAGTTCTGTAATTCAGAAAATAATATTTTAAAGCCTTATATAAATTTACTTATATAAGGTATGTTGAATTACAAAAAAATTCTGATGATATTATTATTATTGTGTTATATGTCTCAAAATGATATTTTTTATATTTATATTTGTTATTTTTCATGGAATGATAGATAATAGAATGATAATGTATAATACAAAATGGAATATAAAATTACAATGAACGAAATTACATTATTAACATAATATGAATATATAAAGATTATCTCTTATAGATTTTTGAATATTCAAATAAATAAGAATAAATGTATATTGCAAATATTTTATTAAATATTGTTGTTAGGTGTTGCTCAGAAATTTTTGTATTATAATTACTATAAAATTATGTTTTATGTCTTAAATATAATATAAAGAAACATACATATAAAAAACCGAATATTTTACAAAAAGATGGCCAAACTTTTAGTGTGAGTGCTTCAAAAAATAATAATGGAATTAAAAGACAGTGTTTCTAATGTTATCATTCATAAAATTAAATTAAAATAAGTTTTATCAAAAATATTTATTTGTTTAATTAAAATATAATTATTATTTGCAGAATATTAATTAATAAATTCTTGATGTGTTGAATATACCATTCATGCAAAATACTTTAAAGTTTACAAAATAAGTCTCATGTAATTGATTTTTAATTTTTAGTCATACTTCACGTACGCATATATTATACGTAGTATACGTAATCTATGTATATATATATATATATATATTGTGAAAATAATGTTAAAAGTAAATGAATTATTAATTAAAGTACATTCACATTAAAATTAAAAGTGAAAAAAAAATTAAAATTTTTTATTATTATTTTAATAACTATTATTAAAAACATTTTAGTAGATATGATGAGGAGATTTGGCTGCAAGTACTATTAATTCAGAGATTGTGAAATTTTCATAGTTCATTAAAAATATTTTGTAGATATAATATTTTAAACGATATTTTATGAATCTTTTATATATCTCTCAATATATAAGAGCAAATGGTTATAAATTTTTTTATAAAATATATACTTTTACGTATAATTGCATTCAAATTTTTTAGTTTAGTAGCGAAAATGAAATTTTTAATTTATCTTTTGCACAGTTCATAAACAACTTAGAATGCTTCTCAGACTGCTTTTTCATTCAACTTACTGTTTTTATACTCTGGTATTAAATCTGATATTGAAGCATATACTAATATACGTACTTTAGCATTTGAATAAAATAAATTACATTATTTTAAACAAAATTAGATATCTTTGATTTATGAATTTTAATTAGAGCTCAGAATATATTTATTTAATATCATTGTATTTATACATTTATAATTTGTCATCATTCAAGTTATGTAATATTTTTGTAAAAAATAATTTTCAACATACTAATATAAATTTTTCATATTGATATTTGCTTTCTATATTTACTCTATGCCATACCATTGCCAGTACCCAATATTTATCACTTTTTTTGTATCTTAAAAGTTCATAGACCGAATAACAAAAAATTATTTATATAACTTCCTCAAGACTTTAATTTTTATTTTTATAACCAATCTTAAATTTGAAATTAATTTTTATTTTAAGGAATATAACAATTTATGCTATTTTTTAATTCAATTTATAATCGTTTATATAATTCGTTATAATTTATGTATCAATGAATAATTTGATTTCTCTTTAATGTATTAAAGTACCTTTTTATTATTTTTATAATATTTTTCAAAAGTATTTTAAGTTTTTTTAAGTATATTAATTATGTATTAGAATTTTAAATAATTGAAATGTTAAATAATTTAATTTAAATATATTTATTTAATAAAATGAATATTGGAATATAACCGATTTTTTATTATATATAGTTTTATTATCTATAAAAAAGTGAAGGTGTAAAATAATTACGTGATTATATATAAAGATTTTCTCTTTATTTATTATTTCCTTAATTTAATCTTCTTTATTTCTTTAATTTTTTCTTAATAATAAGGGAAATTGATTTTCTTAACATTGTTTACAAGGTTGAGTTATTATTCAGGTTAATTTATATTAGAAATTTGATACTCACATTATACATAAGAGTACAAATTTCTTATGATTATTTTATATATCTTATAGTTTCTTTAAATAATATGTATTACATTCAATTTCTTTAAAAAATTATTTTGATTAATGCCTTCTATTTTATCACTATATAAACCATATTTATGTAAATATTCAGTATCTATTTAATTAAATTACCATAGCTAACGAGTCAACCATATTTTAAAAAAAATTTATTAACAACATAATTACGATCTGTAAGTTGTGATTTCTATTATTTTGAAAAAACATTGACATATATTTCATGTTTAAATTGTTGAATACAGTTATAATTGAGAATTAATTAATTAAATATATATTTAAAAAGGTAAAACACTTCAAATAAATTAATGTATATTAAATATATAATTTTATCGAACTCATATATTGTCAACAAAAATATTAACAAAACATATCTCAATAAGTTATCATTTGTAATATATTAATAATATTTTTCAATTATATTTGAATATTTTAATATTTACATAAATCAAATATATACAAAACATCGTTTTAATGACAAAGATTTTATAAATGCTTATATAAAAACAAAACTATTTAATATTCTAATATTGAATTGTGAATTATGAATATGAAATAAAAATAGGTTATTTTCTGTTA